GGGGCCCATTTCGCGAACGCTGCATAAAACTTCTGTTCTAGTTGACTAATTTGGTATGTGTGATCGTCGTCTATGCCAAAGTAAATCCCTAGATACTTGATTCGGTCGTCCGCTGTCATCATGGGTAGTTGTGTTGTATTGGCGATTTGTCCCTCCTGATATAGTGGCATGATTTTTGACTTGTGTGTATTGAGTTTCGCTCCTGACGCAGTGCAGTATGTCTCCACGTCTTTCAGTTTTCTGCGAGGCACTCCAGGGAGGGAGAAAGGAGCAAGCTATCATCTGCAAAGAAAGCACACGTCGCCTTGGTTTCTGCATTGGGCACAGTGATTCCTAAATGTTGGTGTTTACGAAGCATTGCGTGGAGAGGTTCCAAGGCTAAAGTAAAGAGTATTGGGGAAAGTGGATCACCATGTCGAACTCCGCGTGTTTGTTTGATTGCGCGGGTTGCATGTCCATTGATGAGTAGATGACACTGTGGTTGTGCATACAACATATTGACCCATTTGATGAAACTGTTTCCAAAGTTCATTTGCTGGAGGGTACCCACCATGTATTTCCAGTCGAGTCGGTCGAACGCTTTTTCAAAGTCTAAAAACGTGGCGTACGACTCCGTTTTGGTTTGCTTCATCAATCGTTGTAGACTCTGCAGGGCTATTATATGGTGATGCATGGATCGATCTGAAATGAACCCTTTTTGTTGGTGGTGAACAAGTTTCGGCACAAGATGTTTGAGGCGATTTGTGAAAATTTTGGTCAGAATTTTGATTTCGAGCGGGAGTAGTGCAATCGGTCTGTAGTTCCCAGCATATGTTGGGTCTCCTGTTTTGGGTAGGAGTGTTATGAGCGATGTTTGTTGTGGCTTGAGGAGGGCTTGTCGTTCGAATTGATAATGAAACAGTTTGTGGAAAATCTTTCCAAAGTTGACTGGATGTATTTTGAAGAATTCGGCTGCAAATCCGTCTGGTCCAGGTGATTTGTTGTTGGACTGGCATTTGATGGAGGCCGTGAAGTCCGCTGGTGTCAATTCATCATCTAGCCATTTGGCTTCATCCTCGCTAAGTTTGCTTTCAATGTTACTCCACATTTTTGCTTGTGTCTCGTGTTGGTTGGCCGCCATGGTAGTTTCCGTGTTCATTATGCGTGTCCAGTGTTCCACGAATGTTTTTTCAATTTCGCTTTGTTTCGTTTGCATCATGCCCTCAGTGTCTTTGACCTCACTGATCGTTCTTGCTGCCACAGTATCTCGGGGTTTCCGATAGAAAAATTTGGTTGGTGCTTCCATTTGTGTCGCGTGGAACTCGAAGCGTTGGTCCATGTTAAATTCGTGGTATTGGGCTCGAATTTCCTTGTGCACCTCCTTGCTTATGTTGTATTGTTGTTGTGTGATCTCACCAAGGAGGTATTGTGCTTTGTCCGTACGCATGAGTATGTTTGCCTCATGTAGTGTCTGGAGCCTGCTATGTTTGAACTGTTTGTAGTAGTCTTTTGTTTCTCTGCGTATCCACTTTTTCCATTTGAGCCATGAGATTCCGAGATTGAGTTGGGGTGTATTATTCCAGTGTTGGAGTAGTTCCCCTGTGGCTTCCTCAATGAATGTTTTGTATTGGGAGTCGGATGCTAGTTCTCGTGGGAATTTCCATTTTGGTCTTCCTTGTTTTGTGTCTTTTGGCTCGAGGACTACAGTGAGTGCTAGGTGATCTCCATGTACAGGTTCGATGTATTTTGAGTACGATCGTGACTCATCGACGATTGATGTGTCCACAAAGCCATAGTCGATACGGTTTTGTCTCGATGGACTTGAATACGTGAGAGTTTCAGGGTTGTTTAGTCTCCAAATATCTTCCATTGTGAGTTCAAGCAGCCAATCCATCATAGCTGTTTTACCCTGGTCATGGTGGTCATTGAATTGGGTTGCGTCAAGATGTTCGTGGATGGGTATATTGAAGTCGCCAAACGCAAAGTGGATGCTGTCGTGTGCAAAGTTCGTTGGTAGTTGATTAAAGAAGGTTGCTTTGTCAGCATGTTGTACAGGTGCATATATGTTGTGAAAGAACACATCAGTTCCTTGCCATTGGGTTCTGATGGCCATGTATCTGTTTTGTACTGACCGACCCTGGGGAGTAAGGGTGGCGAATCGTGGTGTGTCTTTGTGGAAGTATGTTAGGATTCCACCAGAGGGGTAAGCTAGGCTGCCATCTGGTAAGATTGTACGTTGGTCATTGATGAAGCATTTGTAGTTGTTTTTGCCGATGACTCTGTCCAGGTGGAAATAGAAATCATCAATGTGATGTTGATTGCTGAATTTTGTTTCTTGGAGGAAGACGATATGGTAGTGTTGGAGGTACGTCTCAACGATGGTGTGGGCTGCTTGTTTAATTCCGTTGACATTGAGTGTCATAATCTTTAGTTTCGATCTGATGTATTTCATGATGTTTGGTCAGTGTGTTTGTTGTTTGTCTTACGACAGGAGTGGGTATTGCAAATGTTGATATCGCAGCAGTAACTTGTCTGCTTCACTGATTATTTGCAGTGACATCGCGAACGTCCTTGGTGATTGGGATTTGAAGTTGACCAGAGTCTCAACGCTGTCGTCTTCCCACTTCTGGGATTGGAGCCATCCCAGCAGTTTGTCTCCAAGTGGAGACAGCAACAAGCGATGCAGACTATCATTGGAGAGCAAGCGCATGTGTTGGGTGGGAAGCCAATTGACTGTGTGTTTGGTGTAGTAAAGGACCCATGCATCGCAATTATATAATTGTGGCACTAGGCATTGCAAGATGAGATCCCATTGGGCCCACATGAGCTCCATTTGAAGTTCAGTGGGTTGTATTTGTTGGAGCAGTGTGTTGAAGGCTGTCATGATTCCATCGCGGGTCGTTGGTTTGTCCTTAAATATGGTTTGGAATGCTTGTGTACCTGACATAGTGTCAGTATGGAAGGTGGCGCTTTGGAGAAGTTGATGAAGATGTCGTTCGAGAATATTTTTGTATTCGCTTGGATCGACGCGTCGAATATGATCAAGCGCCAGGTAACTTCCCAAAGGTTCTTGGCGGATGAGTTCGAGGCATTTCTCCCAGTCTACCAGGGTGGTGAATTTGGCTGCCAGTTTCAGATAGCTCGCTTTGGCTTTATGCGCCGCTGCCAGGTTTCCTGTAGGGTTCATGTGTTCCGTTGTTTTGACCATAGTTTGGGCGATGTCGCTGATGTTCCAGTCGTCCACAGCCACACCTACTCGGGGTGGTTTGCCTTGTTGAGACTTTTTCTTTAATCGTTTCGTGATTTTCGCGTCTACGCGTTCAAAGTGGATCTTTTTGTATTTGATCGTGGTCATTGGACATCTCTGAATGATGTAATCGCTATTGGAGTCGTTCGGTTCAATGTCAATGCATAGATTCCAACATTTCAAAGAGATTGGGCGAGTGCCAATCTTGAAGCGGGTTAGTCTCTTCCGCTGCGATCGTGAGATCACGATTAGTCCGTCGTTTGCGTCCGATCAAGGTGTATTCAGAGCCCGCATTCGAGATATCGTCAGTAAGTTTCTCTCGTGGTGTGGATTTGTTGACCGACTGAGATGAGTTGGACGACGTTGCGTCTTCCTCTGTGGTTTTGGGGGATTGAGATCCTGACTGTGGCTCAGGTTGGGGCTCCGGTGTTGTTCAGAGTCTTTAGCCGATGCTTGTTCCGACGGTGGCGACTGATGTCGTGCCTTTTCATCGTCTTCGTTCAGATCAAGACAGTATACCGATGCGTCGCGAAACGTGCCGATACGTGGGTGATTGTCATGTTTGCATCGCACGGGATATTTGGCGCGATTAAAGATGATTTGTTGGATGGGTTGGTGGTTCTTGACTAGTCCCGACGAGATGGTTTCTTCAGCAAAGTAGACACGATTGTGTCCACTGCTCATGTTGCTGTCTTTGTCCATTTCTTTGGGTGTAATATGGACTGGTCGAAACTGTTTCGTGAGCAGCTTTGTGAAAAGCTCCATGTAGTCGAAGGAGTGGCCAAGGCCAATGATGTCCATGTAGTGGTGATCAGCAAGTGGTATTTTAGATCGGGGGAAACACTCCACTCCCATGATGTTGAATGGTCTGTCACAGAGTTGGCTGCGAGTGTATTTGTCTTGCAGCCAGAGCACTACTTGATGGCGGTGCTGTTGGAAGTGGACTTTGCTGATACGCTTTTGGCGAATCATTTCTAACACCACTGAGTCCGTTTGCTCGGTGTTGATACACTCCGCGACGGCAATACGGGTTGCTTTCAGGTCATGTGGTAGTGGGATGATCAGTGGTGTGTCATAGTCCATGTTCCATCCAAGATCCTTATTGACCCTTTTGATGAATTCAAAGTGTTCAATGCGTTTCTCTGTGTCGACCATCGATTCCAAGGACATGGCAATGAGTCGCTGGGTGTCGGCTGCATTGGGCAGCCATAGGCGCATGGTACGTGTTTTCTTGTTGCTGAGACGGTCTGCCAACGATTGTCCAGACATCCATGGATTGTTGGGAGTTGCGTTGGCTTGCGCCTGTTCACCTTGGGGTGGATCTTGGGATTGTTGGTCGGTTCCATTTTTATCTTCAACTTGAAGTTGAATATTGGGTGGGTTCTTTTTTTGATTTTGGTTGTTGATATTGGGTTTGGTATGCATATTTTTTTTGTTTTTGTTGGGTGCCATGGGCCGTGGTTGCAGAGGAAGGCTTGCCAGGACTGGCGTGCTTCTCAGCTGGACCAGGTTCATCAGATTTGGATTCGCTTCCGTGCACATCCTTGCCGGTCGGCGGCGGCACTTGGTGCGTCTCCTTGGCTCCTTGCGGGGCCATTTCGGCGTTGTTGGCTTGGCGAGTTGGTTCGTTGGGTTGCCCAGACGATTGGCTACCAGCCTCGGGTATGAAGTCGGCGAGCGAGAGGGTGTTGCGAGCTTGATCGGCCATGATTGTTGAAGGCGAGGTTGGTTAGGTGGATACTTGATCTGTGCGTTAAGTTGCAAAATTGGAAGTGTCAGCTTGGTGTAGTGGTTATCACATCTCGTTTACACCGAGAAGGTCGCCGGTTCAATCCCGGCAGTTGATACAGTTTTATGTTTAACACGGCCGGTGAGCTTTTAATAGGGGTAATTAAAGCTCTCAAATTCCGTCGTTTTATAATAATTTATCCAAATTAAAAGAAACAATATTGGAAGAAAACACCCCAAGAAAAAAAGTGAACTTGAGCAGGGGAAATCAAAGCTGAAGCAAAATTGTCAGTGAAAATGAAAGTTGTTTAAACTGCATAGGACGATGCGGAGGATGTCAGATAAGACTCTATCCTTATAGCTATCAAGGTTGCTGTGATACATCTTGCTTTTCGGCATCCGTTGATCTACCACAGCATTGTCTTGGAAGAGGCATCTTCAAGAATCAATCATAATACCCATTTTGACTATGCCATTATAAAGTTCATATATAACCAATAAAGCAACTTTTATTTTTAAAAGCACCTCCGGAGACTCTTTAATTTCTCAGCTCAAATCAAGCGGATTTTTTGCTATTTTATTTCAGGAATAAAAGCAAGCCGAAGATTTGAAAGCGACAGCTTTGATTTCCCCTAGCGGTTCTCACAGTCGCTTCAGCGGCTGTGGCTGACAAGTTTCTTTGGCCAGTGAAAAACTTGCTTTTACGATGACTGTGAGGACTCCTCATGGATCAGCAAATATCAGCTTCGACAATAGCGAAATGGATTGTGTAGCTGAAGTTTGTATTTTCCATTTCCTATATTATACACTCCATTTGCTTTTTGTCATCTAATACACCCCGGAAAACTTCTACTTATTCTTTTCTTGCTAGTAAAACCGCTTTCAGCGCAGAAGACATTGCTCTGTTGTCACTTGGCATCATGTCAGCCAAATCTTTTTGTCCAATCCAGTTGCTGTAATTTCTTGAAAGCAGCCAAGCATCTTGATTCAGCTATTATTAATATTAGCATTTTGGTCGGCATGAAGATTTTGCTGACAAAACCAAGCTTAAACATAAACCGAAAACATGTCAGTCTCAGTGGCTGATGCGACTGTGAGAACCACTAATCTTTTCAAATTTGTAGTCGACTCCGTGATAGGCGCATAATTTTACACTCCATTTGCTTTTTGTCATCTAATACACCCCGGAAAACTTCTACTTATTCTTTTCTTGCTAGTAAAACCGCTTTCAGCGCAGAAGACATTGCTCTGTTGTCACTTGGCATCATGTCAGCCAAATCTTTTTGTCCAATCCAGTTGCTGTAATTTCTTGAAAGCAGCCAAGCATCTTGATTCAGCTATTATTAATATTAGCATTTTGGTCGGCATGAAGATTTTGCTGACAAAACCAAGCTTAAACATAAATCGAAAACATGTCAGTCTCAGTGGCTGATGCGACTGTGAGAACCACTAATCTTTTCAAATTTGTAGTCGACTCCGTGATAGGCGCATAATTTTACACTCCATTTGCTTTTTGTCATCTAATACACCCCGGAAAACTTTTTTTTTTTTTACTTCTACTTATTCTTTTCTTGCTAGTAAAACCGCTTTCAGCGCAGAAGACATTGCTCTGTTGTCACTTGGCATCATGTCAGCCAAATCTTTTTGTCCAATCCAGTTGCTGCAATTTCTTGAAAGCAGCCAAGCATCTTGATTCAGCTATTATTAATATTAGCATTTTGGTCGGCATGAAGATTTTGCTGACAAAACCAAGCTTAAACATAAATCGAAAACATGTCAGTCTCAGTGGCTGATGCGACTGTGAGAACCACTAATCTTTTCAAATTTGTAGTCGACTCCGTGATAGGCGCATAATTTTACACTCCATTTGCTTTTTGTCATCTAATACACCCCGGAAAACTTCTACTTATTCTTTTCTTGCTAGTAAAACCGCTTTCAGCGCAGAAGACATTGCTCTGTTGTCACTTGGCATCATGTCAGCCAAATCTTTTTGTCCAATCCAGTTGCTGTAATTTCTTGAAAGCAGCCAAGCATCTTGATTCAGCTATTATTAATATTAGCATTTTGGTCGGCATGAAGATTTTGCTGACAAAACCAAGCTTAAACATAAATCGAAAACATGTCAGTCTCAGTGGCTGATGCGACTGTGAGAACCACTAATCTTTTCAAATTTGTAGTCGACTCCGTGATAGGCGCATAATTTTACACTCCATTTGCTTTTTGTCATCTAATACACCCCGGAAATCTTCTACTTATTCTTTTCTTGCTAGTAAAACCGCTTTCAGCGCAGAAGACATTGCTCTGTTGTCACTTGGCATCATGTCAGCCAAATCTTTTTGTCCAATCCAGTTGCTGTAATTTCTTGAAAGCAGCCAAGCATCTTGATTCAGCTATTATTAATATTAGCATTTTGGTCGGCATGAAGATTTTGCTGACAAAACCAAGCTTAAACATAAATCGAAAACATGTCAGTCTCAGTGGCTGATGCGACTGTGAGAACCACTAATCTTTTCAAATTTGTAGTCGACTCCGTGATAGGCGCATAATTTTACACTCCATTTGCTTTTTGTCATCTAATACACCCCGGAAATCTTCTACTTATTCTTTTCTTGCTAGTAAAACCGCTTTCAGCGCAGAAGACATTGCTCTGTTGTCACTTGGCATCATGTCAGCCAAATCTTTTTGTCCAATCCAGTTGCTGCAATTTCTTGAAAGCAGCCAAGCATCTTGATTCAGCTATTATTAATATTAGCATTTTGGTCGGCATGAAGATTTTGCTGACAAAACCAAGCTTAAACATAAATCGAAAACATGTCAGTCTCAGTGGCTGATGCGACTGTGAGAACCACTAATCTTTTCAAATTTGTAGTCGACTCCGTGATAGGCGCATAATTTTACACTCCATTTGCTTTTTGTCATCATAATACACCCCGGAAAACTTCTACTTATTCTTTTCTTGCTAGTAAAACCGCTTTCAGCGCAGAAGACATTGCTCTGTTGTCACTTGGCATCATGTCAGCCAAATCTTTTTGTCCAATCCAGTTGCTGTAATTTCTTGAAAGCAGCCAAGCATCTTGATTCAGCTATTATTAATATTAGCATTTTGGTCGGCATGAAGATTTTGCTGACAAAACCAAGCTTAAACATAAATCGAAAACATGTCAGTCTCAGTGGCTGATGCGACTGTGAGAACCACTAATCTTTTCAAATTTGTAGTCGACTCCGTGATAGGCGCATAATTTTACACTCCATTTGCTTTTTGTCATCTAATACACCCCGGAAATCTTCTACTTATTCTTTTCTTGCTAGTAAAACCGCTTTCAGCGCAGAAGACATTGCTCTGTTGTCACTTGGCATCATGTCAGCCAAATCTTTTTGTCCAATCCAGTTGCTGTAATTTCTTGAAAGCAGCCAAGCATCTTGATTCAGCTATTATTAATATTAGCATTTTGGTCGGCATGAAGATTTTGCTGACAAAACCAAGCTTAAACATAAATCGAAAACATGTCAGTCTCAGTGGCTGATGCGACTGTGAGAACCACTAATCTTTTCAAATTTGTAGTCGACTCCGTGATAGGCGCATAATTTTACACTCCATTTGCTTTTTGTCATCTAATACACCCCGGAAAACTTCTACTTATTCTTTTCTTGCTAGTAAAACCGCTTTCAGCGCAGAAGACATTGCTCTGTTGTCACTTGGCATCATGTCAGCCAAATCTTTTTGTCCAATCCAGTTGCTGTAATTTCTTGAAAGCAGCCAAGCATCTTGATTCAGCTATTATTAATATTAGCATTTTGGTCGGCATGAAGATTTTGCTGACAAAACCAAGCTTAAACATAAATCGAAAACATGTCAGTCTCAGTGGCTGATGCGACTGTGAGAACCACTAATCTTTTCAAATTTGTAGTCGACTCCGTGATAGGCGCATAATTTTACACTCCATTTGCTTTTTGTCATCTAATACACCCCGGAAATCTTCTACTTATTCTTTTCTTGCTAGTAAAACCGCTTTCAGCGCAGAAGACATTGCTCTGTTGTCACTTGGCATCATGTCAGCCAAATCTTTTTGTCCAATCCAGTTGCTGTAATTTCTTGAAAGCAGCCAAGCATCTTGATTCAGCTATTATTAATATTAGCATTTTGGTCGGCATGAAGATTTTGCTGACAAAACCAAGCTTAAACATAAATCGAAAACATGTCAGTCTCAGTGGCTGATGCGACTGTGAGAACCACTAATCTTTTCAAATTTGTAGTCGACTCCGTGATAGGCGCATAATTTTACACTCCATTTGCTTTTTGTCATCTAATACACCCCGGAAAACTTCTACTTATTCTTTTCTTGCTAGTAAAACCGCTTTCAGCGCAGAAGACATTGCTCTGTTGTCACTTGGCATCATGTCAGCCAAATCTCTTTTTGTCCAATCCAGTTGCTGTAATTTCTTGAAAGCAGCCAAGCATCTTGATTCAGCTATTATTAATATTAGCATTTTGGTCGGCATGAAGATTTTGCTGACAAAACCAAGCTTAAACATAAATCGAAAACATGTCAGTCTCAGTGGCTGATGCGACTGTGAGAACCACTAATCTTTTCAAATTTGTAGTCGACTCCGTGATAGGCGCATAATTTTACACTCCATTTGCTTTTTGTCATCTAATACACCCCGGAAATCTTCTACTTATTCTTTTCTTGCTAGTAAAACCGCTTTCAGCGCAGAAGACATTGCTCTGTTGTCACTTGGCATCATGTCAGCCAAATCTTTTTGTCCAATCCAGTTGCTGTAATTTCTTGAAAGCAGCCAAGCATCTTGATTCAGCTATTATTAATATTAGCATTTTGGTCGGCATGAAGATTTTGCTGACAAAACCAAGCTTAAACATAAATCGAAAACATGTCAGTCTCAGTGGCTGATGCGACTGTGAGAACCACTAATCTTTTCAAATTTGTAGTCGACTCCGTGATAGGCGCATAATTTTACACTCCATTTGCTTTTTGTCATCTAATACACCCCGGAAATCTTCTACTTATTCTTTTCTTGCTAGTAAAACCGCTTTCAGCGCAGAAGACATTGCTCTGTTGTCACTTGGCATCATGTCAGCCAAATCTTTTTGTCCAATCCA